AGTAATGCTGAGCATCTTCCCTTGTGCTTACTAGTCATTTGCATATTGTTATAGGCTGAATGTTTGTGTCCTCCTTAAATTCATATACTGAAGCTCTAATCCCCAATACGAAGATATTTGGAGGTGGGGCCTTGAGAGGTAATTAGGTTTAGATGAAGCACAAGAGTGCAGGAGGTCTTGAAACTGGGATATGTGAGTCCTCTTTGTTTTTTTTAAAGATAGTTTTTATTATTCTGGGTCCCTTGACATTCCATATAAATTTTAAGATCAACTTGTAAATTTATGCAAAGAAGCCACTGGGATTCTGATAAGGATAGAGTTAAATCTGTAGATCAATCTGGGGTGAATTTTCATCTTAACAATATTAAGTCGTCCAATCCATGAGCTTGAAGTGTCTTTCTACTTATTTAGATCTTCTTTAATGCCTTTCAATAATGCTTCGTAGTTTTCAGTGTAAATGCTTTGTACTTTTTTGTTAGATATATTCCTAAGTATTTTATTATTTTGATGCTATTGTAAATGGAATTGTTTTCTTAATATCATTTCTGTATTGTTCTTTTGATTTTGTATATTAACGTTGTATCTTGCAACCTTGCTGAACTCGTTTAGGTGGGTAGCTGTGAACAATATGAGAAGAGCAATAATATGTAGGGGATGAGAAAAAAATGAATCGAGTAGCTTAAGACTATAATAATAGCTGCCATGTACTGAGTGTGTTTGTGACAGGCCAGTGCTTCCCAGGCTTTAAGACGGATATGAATCTCCTGGAAATTTAGTTAAAATTCAGACTTCTGTCACTGGGTTTGGGGTGGGGTTGGGATTCTGCATTTCTAAAAACTTTTCAGTAGATTGCTAGTGGGTTTAATTATTATTTTCAAGTTACAATAAACCTGCAAGACAGATATTACTGTTCCCATTTTTAGACAAGAAAATAACTTCAGAAGTTGAGTTAGTAACCCAGGTTCACAGAATAAGTGACAGACCCAAGATTTGAACACAGTTTATTCTAATGCCAAAGCTGGACTCTTTCCACTGGGTATCTGCAGTTGGAGGAGGGCAGTTGGAATGTGAACAGAGTATAGATCAGAAAAAAAGGAAGCTTTTCAGGGTCACAGTTGCTGCCTGGAGTACTTTTGGGTCTAAACCTTGAGGTTAACCTTGGAGAGGCAATCAGCCAGTCCCTTGCTTTTTTAGGGACCTGAGAGTAAAGGCATGAGTCTGGACTGTCAGTTAGAATTAAGATGAAACTAATAGACAAAATTCAAGATTAGAGGAAGTTTAGAAGGTGACTTACCTCTGATCAGGCTAGACTCCAGAACTGTGTACTGCTGAGGTCTACATCTGAGATTACACCTATCATTGACTCTTCCTACATTCTATATGCTGGGTTAGACTAGCTATGATGTTGACACCGACTAACTCAAGCTGAAGGCTGTGATTGAGAGTCCTTCTAAGTAGAAAAATATCACACTTCGATACTGTGGAAACAACAGAAATAAAACATGGCATAAATTCTGTGCCCTTGAAATAAATGTCTAAAAGCTGTTCCCCTGTTTATTTTTTACTGGGGATGATGAACAGTATAACACTAATATCATCCCTAAGGGGCTAGGGTAAGAATTTAGGGATATGGGTAAGGCTGTGGTCATATGTTTATCTATGAAGGACTATGGATAGGTGACCAAATTCCTTTCCAATAGTTTTCAGCAGAATCTTAGGGGATTCCCATCATCTGAGTCAAAACACGTAAGATTTTTTTTGGTCCTTAGCACCTTTTATTGAAGTATGACCCTTGATGACAATCTGGCAGACATATCTATGCAAGCCAAGAAGGGAATGGTGGAGGACACAAATGCAGAAACAATAGGATTCAGAAAAATAATAGCGTCATATGGGATAGATGACCCCCAACAGTTGTACAACACTGGTTCTTTAGCTATAGAAATGCTCCCTGCCCCACCCCCCTCTAAAGATCTACTAATCTTCAAATAATATAATATGCTGTTACAGAAATATTATTGGCATAGACAACTTCTCTGGCAAAGACAGTGGGAGTTGCCAAGCTCCAGATGGGTAGAAGAGGCCATAAATGTGCCCAGTTTCCTTCATCTGGGGCCGGCCACTGGCAGAGCAGCACCTTCATGTAGGCTGGGGTCCAGGATGTGGTTCTGGTGCACCCGGGCAGCTTTTTGGCACATGAGGTTAAATGGAAAACAGAACCTGAGCCTGGCCTTAAAAGAGGCTTTTCATCTTTTTACCATCTCCTTTCCTCTGCTTCCAATCACACTCCCTTTCTACAGGCTTTATTTTCAGTGTCTTTGTCTCATTCTCTTGGATTCCACTTGACCATGTACTGCTATATCCTGGTTGAGTCTCCAGCTGTGGGGCTCAAGGAGACAATTATCCAGAGGCCTGGGGTAGGAGTTAGGCGGGGACATGTGATAGTTACTCTTGCACTGACTCCTCTCTATCCATCAACCACCATGCTTACCAATTACCCACGGGATCCTGTATAAGTATTTGCATTTTGTCTTCAGGGATATCCCTTGGCCTGTCTTCCAAACTGTTATCCCCTGGCAGGCCCTGGAGGAGGGCTAAGCCCAGGAACTGAAAACAGACTAGAGAAGTAATACTGGCAGCTTTGCAGCACTATCACATACAATGAGACTGCCCTGGCAGGAGTGCAGCATGCCAATGTCTGTTTAGCAGTTCACCTTTTTCTACTAAGCTTCAATATACAGTATAGTTTTGGCATTATTTTTTAAGTACTTTGGAAACTGTCCATCCATGTGAAAACGAGCATCCTTGTATTCTGATTCCAACTCTAGAAACTAATTTGAAGTGGGATGAGGGACAAAAATAGCAGAGTTAATAGTAGTTTTGGTGTCATAAACTTAATGTACAACCAATCTAATACTGACTAGAAAAAACTCAGACTATGATCACGGTATCCAGATAAATGACCACTTTTTTCCCAAAAAGCTGTTCTAAACAACAAATCTGAGAACAATGAAGCACATCACCCTCATCTCTCCAATATAGGATATCTCAACTTGCTTATCGATTGTCCTAGAGCCTGTTTAGAAAAAAAAGAAAAAAGAAAAAGAAGATGGCAGCAATGGCCTCCATTCAAGCACTCCACTCCCCTACCTTACCTTGGCTTGGGTAAACCTAACCCATCTTCCACTGGAGGGGAGAATGGCAGGGTTGCCATTCTAACAGTGGCTCTAGTAGCACTACTAAGCCTAGGACTCCACAGAAAGCCCTAGATATGCTCCCACCCCAGGACACCCTGCTGGCCAAGATTCCCCTATTGTTTTTAAATACAATGAAGAGGAAATGGAAGTTAGTGATCAGTATTTGTAGCAGCAGCAAAGTTCCTTGGCATGTTATTTGGTGGAATGAGGCACCCCTGCTGCTACAGTTGACCTCCAAGGACCCCGAGGAACTCAGCAGTAACTAGAAGAGATGCCAGGGTTTAGCTGGGCTGTGTGATACCAAGGATTGGCCAGTTATTGAGGAAGGGAATTGAGCTACCATTGCCCAAGGGAGGGCTTTTCCAGGATAGAAGCTGGCTTGTCAGGGCCTTGGAACCACAATAGCTTTAGCTCTTTGGATATCTAAGATCCTGGCTGGGTCCTAATTTACTCTGGGGTGCTGGCCTTGGCTGGAGCTCCCAACTACCATGAGTTTTGGTTCCCTGAGCCAGGCCACAGGCTGAGAAAGCAATGGTGAGAGGAGTTCCTCCTGAGTTCCCCTCTACTCATCCCATAGCTTGGATGCAGTAGAGAAACGAGTGAACCTTTCTTAGTTTCAGGAGATTTCTTTGGTTTCCAAAAAATAAGAAAAAATGGAACCCTGACTAGAAATGCTAAGCTAATAGTTCATGGTCACCCAGACTTCAAGGGAAGGAGGGCTGGGCCAGAGTAGGGAGGATTTGAGTTCAAAGAAAGAACTCCTTTCTTAGACACTGGTAGCTATGGTGGGAATAATTCAAAGACTTGGTACTTGCTTACCTAGCCACAGTGAATTCAAGCTGATCTGCAGAAAATGCTTTCCTCCTAGGCTAACTTTTCCCACTCCAACTTCCCTCTTTTTGCCTTATTAGTTAAAAAAACAAACAAACAAACAAACAATTGAAACATAAAAAATAAATAAAATCAAAAGGCCATTTAAAATAAAACAATAAGAACTCCCTCCCCCCAATGAAATATCCAGAAATCAGCTTTAGTAGAGCTATTAATGGCCCACAGTGGGAAGCCCTAGGGTGGGCACTTGGGCTCACTGCCAGCATAGAAAGGGCAAGATGAAACAAGAGGTGGTAGGCCCAAAGGAGGAGGATCACATTAGCCAGGGCTAAGAGAAGGTCTCGTCCCCCTCAGTTGGTTGCTGGGGAAGGTAGCTGATTTGTTTGAGCCTGGCTCTTTCCTGAGGGGCACTGGGGTACGCAACCTTTGCTCACATTCTGTTAAGCATAATTCATTCTGTGCTTTCCCCTGCAAAGCTTCAGTGAGGCCCTGAAACTGATGCTAGGTGAATGCCCTCAAGGCAGCCAGATCTCTGTGGGAAAAGGCTGGGCCACAAGCCCTGAGGCAGTGTGGAGCTGCACAGGCTCTGAGCTCTGAACCTTGAGAGACTGGTGATGGTGTGGGTGGGTGGTGAGTACTTGATGTCTTTGGTGTCCTAGTACATAGCAGAATGAAGGCACTTTGTTGGTTCTGTGTGCAGCAAGTGCTTAACCTTGCAAACTGTGGGAAGGAGAGTGTGGTTGTATAAACACACCTTGATGCAGCTCCCTAGGGAAGATGCTTGGGGCCTCCCCAGGGTCTCCTGGCTGGTTGGGACCACTGCTAGAGAAGGGGCAGTGAGAGATGTCCAGGGTAGAGGGCTGGAGCAAACTGCTAATTGCTATCTACTTGCTAGCAAACTGCTAACAAAGAAGACTGAAAGCACTTCCCACTGTGGCTGGGCAGGGATGCTGTGGCAGACTGCTGGTACAATTAGAAATTGCTGGGCCCTAGGAGTAGACTCTCCCTGAGACATTTGAGCTGCTCTTCCCCAAGCTTGATCTTCTCCTCCAGTTCTCGCTGTTCAATGATGAGAGCAGATTTCATCTTGACAAAGTGCTGGTAATCTTGGAGCTGGTCCTGAGGCAGGTAACGGGAGACCATGCCAAATACCAACTTCTCCCGGCGGTCCACATGCTCCTTCAGCTCCTTGGCATCTGCCAACTGCCCCATCAGCTGCTGCTTCTTCTCTATCAGCACCACCTGGGGAAGCAGAGAAGCAATTAAGGGCTCTTCCAATAACCAGGCGTCTGCCCAACAATGCTGCCTATCAGTGCTCCACCAGGGATGCAGCCACAAAGCAGTTATCCATTCTGCTAATTGATTAGTCCTAGATTTCTTGCCCTAAAGTCCACCTCTATGGAAAAGCCTGTATTTCCTGTGGCAGGAGGAGGGTAAACACAATAGGAATTCTGGACAGAGGGATGTGAAATCACTTTTTTTCCCCATCCCTAAGGCTGTCTTTTATCTGGGGACCACTTGTGGGTTTGGGGTGGGAGAAGGCTCTGACAAAACCAGTCTGTGTCCCTTCCATCTGGTAAACAACCATCACTGTGGCAATGCTTTCTATACGGTGTGTGTCTCTGTGTGAGCAGATATTTGTGAGTGTATCCATGTGTGTATGCATATGTGTATGCACCTCTTTTTGTGAATTCAGAGTTGTCCAAAGCCACTTGAATAGGGAAAGGTAATGTTGTTTTTGCAGAGTGACCCTGCCTACACAGCTGATAGCCTTTTGATCTCAACTGCCTAATAAGATATCTCCCTCCGAATCTAGAGAGAGTGAGGCAAAATTACTGCTGCTACGGCTGCTACTACTACTGGCAGCTAGCACTGACTCAGTGTTTACTCTGTTCCAGGGCCTGTTTTAAATAATTAACATGGGTTATTGAATTTAATTCTCACAACAATCCTATAAGGAAGGTAGTATGTTCACTCCATTTTAAAGATGAAGAGACTGAGGCAAAGAGAGGTTAAGTAAGTTGCTCACAGTCACACAGCTGATGATAGAGCCAGAATTTCAGGGCATTTAACAGTCAGTGCTCACACTCTCTTAACACTATGTTCTACTGCCTCCCATAATAGCCCAGCTGAGAAGAAACAGCTAGCATTTCCCTCCATTTGTACCCTGGAGACCCCAACTCTACCTTTTCCTGGTTGGCTTCTGAATCGATGCTGTTGAGAGCATTCTCCACCCGGGCCAGTCGTCCAGAGAGTGACAGCAACAGGTTGACCACTTTGTCCAGGTCCCCAATAAACAAGCGGTATTTTTCAAACTCATTGGATTTGCAGACAGCTTTTAAGTTGGCCTCCACCTCCTCCCCAAGGGCAGAATTGGCATTGATGTCCTCCAGCAGTCCTTGCTGGGCTTCTCGCAAGACAGAAAGTTTTCTGCCAATGCTTTCAATAAGCTGTATCTAGGGGAGTTAAACAGAAGACACAAGATGAGAATGATGACCAACAGAAACTGCTCCAGGCCTGTAACCTCTGTTTTGGGATCCAAGTAACAGATGATGGGCTATACCTGAGTAGCTGGAAACAAAGGATTCCTCAGCAAGTAATGAGCAATTTCAGTTTTCTGTGCAAGCACCTTCTCTCCTTGTCTGGTAGGGATCTCCATGTCACCACCAACCTTCTTGGCATTGAATGAGTGGTACCCATGGGCTAAGCTTCATTTGCTAAATGCAACTTAATAAATACTTGCTGAGACTATGTAATAAATGGGAGCCAGAATGCTGGTGAGAACGTGGTTTGGAAAGCCATATGCCCTCAAGTATTTGTCTACTACTTCATTCATTTTCCTTCAATCCATTTAAGTATCTCTTATGTTCGTGGCACTAGGCTACAGTCTTGCCCCCTCAGCTTGGCTTTTGAGGCCTTTTGGATACAACTTCCTAGCTATGGGATCTTGGGTGACTTGACATTATTAAGCTTCACTTTCTTCATCTGTAGAATGGAAGTAACTGCAGGAACCACTGCATTTGGGTCATAACAAGGAGTCAGAGAGCTAACACGTGCAAAGGGCCTGGCCTACAGTAAGTGCTCCATGAAAGCTAGACTGCTACTGTTGTGATCAAGTCTATTCCCATTCTAATGTCACTCCTCAGAGCCTTTCAGGATTAGCTGCTCACTCTGTGTTCATAACACTCATTCCCATTCCTGTGTCCCTGAGTGGTTTACGCAGTTCTTCCTGTTCTTTATCTCTTTCTTCATTTAGGCTAGTGCTATTCTTTCCTCAGGGCTCAGCTCTGTCCCTATTCTCCCTACAAGAATTCCTCCTCTGTAAGTCCTCTCTCAATGGTCTCTTTCTTTTCTGAGCTCTCAAGCCTTTTAGAATTAGAACCCTATCATTTTCTATTCCGTGTGTGAGTCCAATCCCTTGTCTATAATTGATGGTAAATTTCTTAAGGCAAGTACTGCCTATGTCTTCTGATTTGTCTCCCCTGTAGGTGTAACTAGTTTTGGGACTGCCCACACAGGAAGGCAGTGGGGTAGAATAGAGTTTTTAAGTCAGGCGGGGCTCGGTGGCTCAGCCTGTAATCCCAGCACTTTGGGAGGCTGAAGCTAGTGGATTGCCTGAACCCGCGGGTTTGAGACCAGCCCGGGCAACTTGGGGAGACCTCATCTCTACTATAAATTTTTTAAAAAAATTAGCTGGGTGTGGTAGCGCACGCTTGTAGTTCCGGCTACTTGGAAGGCTGAGGCAGAAGGATCGTGGTGCCCAGCAGGTCTATGCTGGGGTAGCAGTGAGTGTGCCACTGCACTCCAGCCTGGGTGACAGAATGAGACTCCAACTCAAAAAAAAAAAAAAGCCAGAGATGCCTGGATTCCAATTCCACTTCCTCCAAACTGTGTGACCTTAGGCAGGATAAGATAACTAATCCCACTAAGACTTCTGTTTCTTCATCTGTAAAGTGGAGAAACCCCTCCCCCCAGGAATGTTGTTATGGCTAAATGAGATCACATAAATCAAAGACTTAATACTGTGCCTGGCACTTACATGCTCAATGCATGTTTACTAATGCTATTATAATTATGTTATTTCTACAAGACACTCTAAATTAGTGAATATGTTTTAGCTACAAGGTTCCAACAAGAATGGCCCTGTCCCAGGTTGCCTACCAGCCTTTGAAGCCAGTATCACATTATGGCTAAGAGTACAGACTTCAGTGCCAGACTACTGGGGTCTGAACTCCAGATCTGCCACAAAGTAGTGGTATATGATCGTGAGCAAACTAGTCAACCTCTCTGTGTCTCACTTTCCACATCCAAAACACAGAATAACAAAAGTACATACCTCATATAGTTGTTATGAGAATTAAATTAGTTAACACATGTTACATGCTTAGAAGAATATTTTGCACATAGGAAATATGCTTCAGTTTGATTATTATTCCAGCCCAGGCACTCTGAAACCATAGGCTTGTAGTTTTCTACAATATGTTTTTCTCTATTTTTTATTTTAAGATGCACAAGATAAGGAAGACTAAGAGAGCATCCTCTGGGTTTCAGGACCTAAAGTCAGGAGATCACCATGATCTTAGTCTGAAGTGTAATAGGTTTGCATTTAAGGAAATTTCTAAAACCTACTGGGAATTAGGTATCAGTGATATGAATGAGGCAACACAATTAGATGCCAAGTTGCTGCCAGTTATATTCCCACCCTTTGCTCTCCCCCATAAAACTCAATGCTGGGGACAAAGGATGGCTAGGGGCCAAATGATCCACTTGGAAAATCACCTATTCACCCCAGTTCCTGGGCTCCAAGGATAGATGGAAGGATGGAAGTGGACAAAACCCTTTTTTCTTTTTTTCTTTTTTTGAGTTGGAGTCTCACTCTGTCGCCCAGGCTGGAGTGCAGTGGCCGCTCCCGGCCACCGCAGCCTCGACCTGCTGGGCTCCGGCAATCCTTCCGCCTCAGTCTTCCGAGTAGCTGGAACTACAGGCACGGCGCTACCACGTCCGGCTAATTTTTGATGTATGGTAGAGATGAGATCTCGCTGCCCAGGCGGGTCTCGAACCCGCGGGCTCAGGCAGTCCACTCACCTCAGCCTCCCAAAGGCGCGGGATTCCAGGCTGAGCCACCGAGCCCGGCTAGCTCTCAGTTCTTACTTCTCTCTCTCTCCACCTCCGTTTCTGTCTCATTTTCGCCTTCTCTCGTCTCTGTCGTCCTTCCCAGTCGAAACGACCCTGGGTCTGGCCCCATATTCCCTTGTAAGAACAAAAGCGGGCGGCGCAGGGCCTAGGTCAGGTTCTAGGTCAGGACAGAGGGTGGGACCTGAGGGCCCCGCCCCGGGTCCCAGCTCCGGAGACGCAACCTAGGGCGCCCCTGCTTCACCTTGAAGCCGGAGGATGGCAGGCCATACCGCGGATGCCAGGCTCCACAGAGCCTCCTTCCGACCCCTGGCACTGTTTGAAGACGCCCTGCGATTCTCACCGAGTCGTGGAACTCGTTTTCCAAGACTAGTCTTCGGCTTCTTTTTTTTTTCCTTTGAGTTGCAGTCTCACTCCGTCGCCCAGACTGGAGTGCAGTGGCCGCTCCCGGCCACCGCAGCCTCGACCCGCTGGGCTGCGGCGATCCTTCCGCCTCAGCCGTCCAGGTAGCTGGAACTACAGGCGCGCGCTAGCACGCCCGGCTCATTTTGATTTATTGTAGAGTTGAGGTGTCGCCAAGTTGCCCAGGTGGGTCTCGAACCCGCGGGCTCAGGCAATCCACTCACCTCGACCTCCCAAAGCGCGGGATTACAGGCTGAGTCACCGAGCCCAGCAACAAAACCCTTTTTTTCTTGACACTTGGGTTCTACAGCATGAATCTCAACCCTGGGGAAAGTGTGGTGGATAGAGGTATAGAATCATCACAGATCCAGCTACATCTGAGTTGTTTTTTCTAGGATATTATAAACTGGTGACCTTCCTCAGAGACAAAAACTCTCCTAGCCTACCCACAATCACTTCAATTCACTTTCTGCTGTCCTGTGCTTTGCTATTTCTGATCATCTCTCTCTTTTCCTGGTCAACTTTTATTAGGTTTGCTCCTTCAGAGGCCAGGCCCTGAGTAAACTAGGAGCAGACCTGCCATGCTCAGGAAACATGGATTCCAAGTAAGCAGAAATCTGGATCAATAAAACTTCAACACCACCATGCTTCCAATTCTTCTCCTGACGTTTTACTTCCGATGGAAAATTGGAGAAAGGGCTCTTACAAATGGCTCTGTGCTTTCCTACAGGTCATGTCCTGAAAGAGAAATATGGGCATAAGAGCAATTTACATGAAGTTTAGATGTCCACAAAGCAGTAAATTGAGCCTTTGAGGTTTCCATGACAACCCTACTTGCTTATGAAATAAAATGGGTAAGTGCAGGGAGGGCAAAGTGATTCCAGGAATTTGATTAGAAAACCAAGCTAGTGGTACTTAGAGGAAGAAAGAGAGGCTTTGGAACAACAACATCATCTCCATTTATCTATTTTGTATTTTTAAGAGATAATTGACTACCCTTGCAAATAAATACTAAAGTTTGCCAGCCTATAATTTCTCCTTATTTTCCTTCGTTAGTCTGTTCTCTCTCCCAGAAAGTCGCACAGAGAATAAAAATCAATGACACTGCCATTGGTTAGAGGAGCTCACAGGCAGAAACTCTGACGTGCCCTGGTGGTAAGTTACTTACAAGGCTGGTTTAATTCAGAGACATACCTCATATAGTTGGTTACATGGTAACTAATCCCACTAAGACTTCTGTTAGAAGTGCATGGTAGAGTAGAAATTCAGACAGTCTTGATTTCAAGTCCTGGATCTACCATTTAGTCTGTAACCTCTGGTGAAATTAGTCCCCTCAGCTGATAAAAAAGGGATAGTAATATCTACTGTGTAGGGTTACTCAAAGGGTTAGAGAGCCAGTAATGATGCTTACTACTACTACTACTACTACTACTACTATCACTGCTGCTACTACTACTACTACTACTACTACTACCACTACTATTGACTGGACCAAAAAGATACTGGAGCTGGGTGGGTGCAGTGGCTCACACCTGTATTCCCAGCACTTTGGGCGAGAAGATTGCCTGAGCCCACGGGTTTGAGACCAGCCTGAGCAACATGATGAGACCTTGTCTCTACAATAAAACAAAAAAATTAGCTGGGTGCGGTGGCATGTGCTTATAGTTCGCAGCCACTTGGAAGTCTGAGATGGAAGGATTGCCTTGATCCCAGCAGGTTGAGGCTGTGGTAGCTGTGAGCATGGGTGACATGGTGAGACTCCAGCCTGGGTGACAGAGTGAGACTCTGACTCATAAAAAAAAAAAAAAAGACTGAAGTTGAGTCTGTAAGAAATCCAGAGAGGAGAGGTGTTTGATTACCATATTGAAAATACTGAAATGCAAGGTGTTCTAGAGAGTATAGAAGGCCAGTCACTCTCCAGAGACACTCAAACTAAGTGCAGAAAATCTTTAGGGCACATCAAAAAACTTCACCTTTTTTTGAGCCAGTTCGTGGTCAACTTCCTCCTCTTCCAGGCCAATCTCTGCAATCTCAGGTTGGTCTTTCAGTTTGTTCAGCAGCTCTGCTTTGGCCACAGAAATATTGTAATAAGCTGAGTAAGAGGTAGGGATTCCTGGGGCCCCTGGAGGAGGTGACAAGTGCTGAAATTCTTGTCTGTGGAAACAAAGAATGACCATTTCAGCAACTCTGCTGAGAGGCTGCTGACCTTTCTGCTTCTTAATTTCCCCATCTGAAAAATGGAACCACATTTCACCAAGGAGTTGTAAAATAATAATAATAAAAACAACAGACAAGAAGGTACTATTCAAACACAAACAGGCCACATGAAGGCTATCTAAAAAGTTAAATAAAAGCAACTTTTAAGAACTTAGAAGGCTATTTCCATGCCCCTGACTTCAAAAGACAGGGAGATGTTTTCAAGAATAATTTGGTTTGGTCATTAAAATTCTATTAAAATCCAGAAAAACTGGCAGGTCCCCAAAGTTTTGGGCTTCTCATCATCAATGATTCCTTTTGGTTCATGGCCCCAGTATATGGATCCCAAAGGACGGACTAGATGGAAGGGAAGTATCTGAGACCTTAACTATTTGTCCTCCAATTCTGTTGGCCTTCCTCAGACCCATCACTGGACCCCCATCCACCCTGGCACTATCTAGTCTACTTGCTTACAAAGGCACTCTGTGGTTTTCTTGGATACTTTCATTTTTTTCTTCTTTCCCAATGCCACTCCTGCTTGAAATGTTCCCTCCACTGCAGATCTCCCATAGCAAAGAGGTCACCCATGACCTCAGCAGTGGTCACCATGTTGGAGGCTGGGATTAGCACCCCTGCCAGGGACTTGTCATGGCCCACAACATCTCTCCTGAGCTCTTCTGAGATTGCCTGTTGTAGGGTAGGCCTTTGGCCTGAGAAGGGATAGCATCTCTCTGCTTCTGGAATATTCTCAATGGTCCCAGCCTCCTCCACAGTTGTAGAATGAAATGGGGAAAAAATGGAACCAGTGACACCCAGGGGCTTGACAAGTGTAGCAGCAGACCCTGTTGTCTTGGGTTCACTGAAGCCTGTGGGGTTGAGGCATTGTTTTTCAGAGCCCTAGCCCACGAAAGAGAACTTCTCCTCAAGAAAAAAGTAGCTCTGGCTTCATGCTGGCTTGGGTTTGGCCTCTTCTACCATCAAGGCTTCTGGTCTGGTGTGAGGAAGGAAGTAAAGAGAATTGCTACAATGTCAGGTTTCAGTGATGGAGGGGCAAATAATTCCACCCATGGTTTATGAAAAGAGGAGGCCCACCCTCACTATATTCTTGTTGCCTCTCAGCTACCCCACCCGCTACCTATCTGTGTCACCACTCCTTTGCTAACCTCTAGCTGTTTGAAAGTGAAAATAGGAGAAACTCATTAGTCATTTTTGCAGCTATTTGCAGCTCTTAGATAAAGGTCAAAAATAATGGTTAAAAGGCTCTACAGCTATTTACTGATTCATGCTATGCTGTCTCCTAATTCATCACACAAAAGAAACTTGGGCACACCAATATTCCTCATTCTGGGCAAATTCATTTTATATGTAGGTTTTCAAACTTATAACACTGATAAAGGAATAATACTAGCTAATATTCACACAATACTTACCATGCCCCAGAAACTGTCCTAAGATAGATACACACATACGTGTGTGTGTGTGTGTGTGTGTGTGTGTGTGTGTGTATTTGTATATATAATTGAATGCTCATGACAACCATTTTACAGATAAAGAACATTTGGCACCAGGAGGTAAAGTGACTTTCTCAAGGTCACCAGTCATTAAACGACAGACTTGTAATCTGTACCTGAGCAACCTGACTTCAGAATCTGTGCTTCTAGCTACTAAGATATACTGCTGAAGGGACAACTTGACAGCATATAAAACCCTACACAAGGCTGAGTACGGTGGCTCAGCCTGTAATCCCAGAACTTTGGGAGGCCGAGGCAAGAGGATTGCCTGAGCCCGGGGGTTTGAGACCAGCCTGGGCAACTTGGTGAGACCTCGTCTCTACAATAAATCACACACACACAAAAACCTCCTACACATAAAGAATTTTCTGGTGGGAGTGTCTATGTTAGCAGAGAATAGAGAATATTCTGGATGGAATATGATGGTATGAACTCAGGGGACTCCTAGCTTCAAGAAAAATATTTATGTCATATGTGAATGTTCTGAGTCAGAAAGTGTTATAAACGAAAGAAAAATCCTCCAAAAGGAAGTGCTAGTTGGAGGCTCAGTTCCCAGAAGACACAGTTGTGTGTCATATTATAGTGTATCATTTAGGCACTATGCTTCAGGGATCCTTCCTCATCACCTCCATTAACAGGGGAGGGGTTTCAGGCAATCTATGAGAACATAATTGGAATTTGATAGTGAACATCAAAGCAAAAATCAGATTCCTCCCACAGAACAATGAGAGGAAAAAAGCAAGCTATACCTATCCTTGAATCAGAGTTTTTACACATAACTAACACTTTATTATTATAATAGCCGGCTTCTATGTGTGTCCTAACAATTCACAACGGAATAGTAGGTAGGTAACCAAGGAACTACAATTTAACTTGGTTGCAGTTAGGACATCTTTGCAAGTTGGTTAGGATCGAATCCTCTCCTAGGGTCTGGAGTAGAATCTTCTTCAGGAGCCCAGAGATCCTGGGATAATGTAGCAAGCATAGCAAGTCAGACTACATGGGTTCTGGCTACCTGTGATCATGTGATAAAGTCACTTTATCTCCCTGGGCCTCACTTTTCTCATCTAAGGAATGGAGGAGACTAATGGCAACTATTTCACAGGTTTGTTGTGAAGATTAAATCAATTAATACACAAAAATGCTTAGAACAATGCTTGGCACCTTGTAAGCAGATGAAAAATTATAGCTATGTTGGAAATGATGCTGTTCCTTAAATCTCCATCACTCAAAAAAGCATCTATAATTGATTTTGCAGCCACAAGCCAGGATTTTGTGTAAACAAATCTTTTCCCTCACATCTCACAATCATTAAAAACAAAACAAAACTGGAGCAAGTTACAAGATCTCTAGTAATAGCGACTTCCTTCTCTCTGGCCAACATGCCAAGGCAAATGGAGGTACGTAAAGACGGGAGGGCCAGAGCCTATAACTGCTACCTCTAGTGCACATTGCCCTGCAGGAGAGAAGAGGGCCTTGTGATAGTCTGACCAATGGGAAGAACAAGGTCTTTCTATAAAGGCTGACTAGGAAGGCAAAATAAGCATGGGTTTTGGATCAGACAGATCTGGCTTTGAACCTTTGCTGTGTAACTCTAAATTAGTTAATCCCTTGTTTTGCTAAACTTTAGTTTTGTCATCTGTCAGAAGGGGATAATAATGACCAATAGGGGGATTAAATGAAATAATAGATGTATAATGCCTAGCAGTGTCTGGCACATAGTAAGTGCTTAATGAATGTTCATTTGTTTGTTTATTTGTTCTTTCTTCTGAAATAGTAGTTCAGTGCCTACTATATGGAGGTCTCTTTCCCTTCTTCCTGCTGTGACAGACAACAATCACAGGTACTTTCCACAAAATGTTTTCTAATTACAATAAGAATGCTCCCTAGTCATTCTTGAGAATGCTTGAGAAGCAGCCACATGAGACCTGATGAGGGAGAGCCAAGCCCTATAAATGCTGTGCTTGTGGCATCTTGGGCTGGCAACTTGCTCAGCTAGCTCCAGATAGCCAAGTCACAGATTTGCCTGTCAAATGACATTACAGTAAGGTACTTCTAACAGCAACAAGTTGCAGGCAAAGTAAGGGAGGCCAAAGTAGGAGTGTGGTCTGGCAGCAGGACTGCTATAAAGGAATGAAACACTTAGAAGACACCTGTCTCTAAGAAAGCCAGCGGGGCTCTCTACAGGAGAGCAGGCAGAGCCCAGAGCCAGAGCACTGAGCAATGATGGTCCCAAGGCTTTTGCTGTGGCATGAAAAGAACAACCATGCACTGTAGGGCATGCAGATGAGGCCTGGCATGGTAGAGTGAACAAACACCAGCAGTCCTGCTGCCAGACCACACTCCTACTTTGGCCTCCCTGCCCGGGCAGCTCACCCTGTCAGCTACCACCAAAGCAAATGTCAAGACAAAGAGGGGGAGAAAGTAGAAGAGGAAAATAATGTCCTTAGCCGTTGTAAGGGAATTATCAAGGCAGCCCCAAGAATACCTTTGATGCGGGGGGTGGTAGGGAGAGTTTAGAAGCCCAGAATACATGAGCTGGCCTCTTGTTCTAGAGAGCAAGCAGAAGAAAAGGCAGAAAAAGGCCTGAGCCAGATTTCCAGGAGTGACCCAGTACAGTCAACAAGTGCCTTTGGGATCGGGGGCTAGAAATTGATGCATACATTAAAGACAGAGAAACAGTACAGTATTTTAGTAATGATATTTAGGGATAAGAACATCAACAACTCTCATTTACTGAGCATCTGCTGTATGTCAAGCATGGAGCTATGTCCCTTACATAGATTATCTTAATAGTCACAACAACCACGTGGAGCAGTTATCATCATACTCATTTTCCAGGTAAGAAAACTGAGGCTAGGAGCAGTCCAATTGACCAGTCCAAGGTCATGTAGTTAGTAAATGGTAAAGGTAGACTTCAAACTTATGCTGCTTGCCTCCTCAGGGACCCAGCATCTTTCATAAGCACTTACTTGGGAGAATCAGTGGCCTCCTGCTCTGATGTCCTCCAAAGCCCACCAATGCCATAATAGCAAGGGGGTTGAGCCTGCTCAGGTTGAGATCCCAAGTGGCCCCTTATTGGAGGCAGGAAATCACTTGAATGAACAGCAAAGGACTCTTGCTCTGCTGGGAGGCTTTGTGAACCCTGCCTTGAGGCCTCCAGGTGGTCAAGGCTCAGGGGTTGCGCCTGCTCCAGGACCTCCTCAGAACTGAGGGCACAGGAACCAGTGGTTTCTGAACTGAAATACTGGGGTGGCAGCTCCTCTTCTTCCTCCTCTCCTTCTTCCTCTTCCTCCTCCTCCTCCTCTTCCTCTTCCTGTTCTTCCTCTTGTTGCTGCTGCTGCTGCTGCTGCTGTTGCTGCTGTTGCTGTTGCTTCTGCTGCTGGGCTGCACGGAAAAGCCTATACTTCTCCCAGTTGGGAGGAGGAGGGCGAGGAGGAGGAAAGGCCTTCTTTCTGGCTCCCAGAGGATCCTGCTGGGTCTCATCACCTTTGGTAAAGAGCTCCCTCCTATGTTGCCCCCAGGCCCGGGTGCTTTGGGGCTCCAAGCTGATGTGACTCTCTGAGAAGGCACGGCTGCGCAGTGGGCGGGGCATGGAGGCAAGGGAGCTCTCCTCTTCATAAACTGAAGTTTCCTCTGCTTTCTTCAAGGCATGTTTAAAGTCTCCAAGGAGGTCAAGAGAAGAAATTGCTCGGTAGTTTGACAAGTCCAGTGCTGGGTTCTCAAAGCAAGGATGGAAGGGGGTTGCCCATGGAAAACTAGCCTTGGAATGAGCCATTTCCCTGTAAGACAGCAGACAAAAATTGAGTAAAACAAGCAAATTGCATATGGGCTCATATTTTGGATGACATCATTTCTATAAAATTCAAAACTGCCACAATATAATGTAACATTTGTAGTAAATATAATAATAGTAATAATAATACAGTAATAATGATAGCTAACACTTACTGATCACATGCTAAATACCACGCATAGTTTTAAGTGGTTTCCATGTTTTAACTTATTTAATCCTCACCATGACCCTAGAAGGTGGCTGTTATTATTGCCCTGATTTTATAGTTGGGGAAACTGAGGCATAGGCAGGTTAAGTAACTTGCCTGGGGTCATAAGGCCAGTAAGTGATAGAGCAGGACTTGAACAGTTTAGCTCTGTATATACACATACCTCTCCAGTCTGTTTATATACTCAGATTGGATATGCTGTGTTCTGGAGCTTTCAAGTCTACTTACCCTGCCTCATCTGTTGTTTCTGTTTGTTCTGTTTTTCATTATGAAAAATTTCAAATATTTGGCAAAGTACAGAGATAAACATAATAAATACCCATGTTCTCACTTACCACCCAGCCTCAGTACATTCGAATACTTTGCTATATATGTTTTATGAATTTTTCTGAAGAAATAATACCCCTTGTGTCACTCCTGACTTCCATTCCCCTCTTACCTTTCTAGTTATAATTTGTATCATGATTAGATACATACTTTCTGTCTGTGTTCTTATACTTGCAACCAAAAACACCAAACAGGCCATTTATAACTATCTGTTATTTTGGATTTAAAATATCTCCTTCTAATGCAATTCCAATTAGAATTCTCAATAGGAAATGTTTAACTATAGAAGTTTTTGAAAATTAACTTGTGAAAAAAGCAGGATATAATACATTTTTAAATTATTTTTTTCCTTTTTAATTTTTATATGTTAAAGATGTGGGGTACAATTCAGGATCAAGTATTAAAATGTTCATTATGCAGGTACCCTTGTTGATGAGGTATACCTCCCTTCCCCAGGCAGATTCCCATTACTGCCAATCCCACTTCCCTGCCACCCTCCTGGCAGTTTCTCACTAAGGATATAATATTAAAGAATATTCTGCTACAGAAGAAATGAGGATAGTGGGTAACCAAGGAGTTTAGCATATTGTAAAATAATTGTAATTAAAACAGTGCATTATTGATTAACAGAATAGAAAGTCCAGAAGCAAATCAGACTATCTATAAAAAATATCATATATATACTTTTTCAAACAATGAGATAAAGAAAGATTATTTAATGAATCCTGAAGTCACTGTAGGCAGATCAGTGCTTTTTGAAGCTGCACCATACATTACATACCAAAATAAATTATAGCTCAAGAGTTACAATTATGTGTATGTGTGTGTAATTTTAATATATATGTATATATTATATGTGTATTTGTATGTACATATGTGCATATATATTTATTTTTAAACTATCAAAAACTTTTAAAAGACTATCACTTGTGAGGTAAAATAAGACTCTCATCTCATTTTGGTATGTAATATATGGTGCAGCTTCAAAACGCACTACAGTGACTTCAGGATTTACTAAATAATCTTTCCTTTATCTCCTCGTTTGGAAAATTATATATATTATAAGCTTTAGAATATCTCCAAGGAAAAAAGTGCAGGTTTTTTTGAATATGTATAAAAAGTTCGAGCTTCTGTATAATCATTAGTGATTAAAGTTAAAAGACACCTCTTTAGCCTCAGAGTACAAAGAGTTAAGCCCTCTTAGCCATAAGATCTGGTTTCCTGCTGTAGCCTGTGAGCAATCAGCATCATGCTAAGTCCTGCCCAGTGACAGGAAATTCCAGGGGTTCAATTAAATCATCAAGCAGAATATCCATTCACTAGTCGTGATGAAGACTAGGAATATTTCTTTAAGAAATAATAATACACGTAATGGTAGCCAAGCTCAGATAGAATGGAAAGCAAAATGTCCTTCATTCCCCTCATCTCTAGCCCTCATTCTAGCTAGCTCATTACTCACATGGATCAGAAATTCATATTCAGACATACCCACTGCCTCCTCATTTGGGCCTTAGCATCTCTAGATCTTTAAGATTATAACAACCTCTTGTGTGCAAACTGTTCCACCTGGCATATTCCGTCATTAAAAAAACAAACAAAAACAAAGACAAAAAGGGATGGTTGAGTGGAAAGTAAAAGAGTGACATATGCAGAAAAGGCTTTCCTGACTGTCTTACCTAAAATAGAGACAACTTATTCTTAATTATCCTTATTCTACTTTGTTTTTTCTTGGAGCACCCATCCCCACCTGATACTATATCACATACCTATGTTTGGTTGTTTATTTTGTGCTCCACTCTAACTAACATGTAAGCTCCATAAGGGAAAGGTTCTCATCTGTCTCATTCATCTGGGCCTCTAATGCCTGGCACACAGTAGGTATTCAGCAAGTATTTGTTTAATAAATGACTTAATGTCAAAATTTTAAAAAAGAATCATGATATTCATATTATTAAAAAGTTGACCTAAAGGCAAAAAGCAACAAACAAGACAAGGAAGGGCACCATAATGTAAACAACCCAAACACATGATGATTTAACTACCCTGAACTTTTATGCACCAAAAGTAAAATATATAGGAAACACAAAGGCAGAAAAAAACAGAAGCAAACATGAGACTGTTTTGGTTGATAGCGGATCATGCCAGTCAAAAATTAAGATAATGGAAAAATCTAAACTTCTTCACACACTAAAAACAGGCAGTACTTCTTAATTCAAGGACTCATTGAGTGTTTTTTTAAATTGGCTATATACTGAGGCAGAAAGTGGAGGTAGTACAGACCACATTCTCTAATCACGATACAGTAACACTGAAAATTAATAACAAAAATGAAAATAAAAAATCTCTAGCATATAGAAAATAAACAGGGAAAAATTCTTCTACTTTAGCAAAGAGAAAATCTAGTCTGAAATAGAATACCTGGAAAATAATAACAATGGAAATGTCAGAAGCTAGAGGATATGGGTGACTAAAGAAGTCAATGAAAAATTTGTAAACTTAAATACTTATAGTAATACATAAGAACAAATTAAAAAGTTCATCATTCAACATAAAAGGTGCTAAAAAAACCCACAAAATAAGCGTAAAACAAAGCAGAAATATAATAAAACTAATGGCAGAAGTCAATATAGTAGAAAACAAATGATAGAACTAATAAAGCCAAAAGCCAATTCTTCAAAAGAACTTATAAAACAATAAAACAGACAAATCACTTGCTAATCTAATTAAAAAGCACCCAAATACACAAAATTACAAATGGAGAAATAACTACAGTTACAGAGTAAATGAAAAGAGTAAAAGAATACTTTGCTTTATTCTATAAAAACAAATTTGAAAACTTAGAATGATTTTCTATGAAAACAAAAATTACCAAAACTGATTGCAGAAGAATGAGAATATCTAAACCCGCCAGTTGCCATTTAAAAATTGATAAGTTTAACCAAAAACAGCACAATCACATAGTCTTGTGTTATTTCTACCAAACTTTAAAAAATGGATAAAACAATGTTGTTTACACTGTCTCGATTCTGGAATCTAAAGAATAGAGAGAGAAGAAAAGAGTCCTGCATAATATCAATATCGAAACCCAACAACCAGAACATGCATAAAAGAAAATTAAAGACAAATCTCATCTAAGAATACTGATGCAAAATCTTCAATAAAATATTAGCCAAGAGAATCCGGGAGGATGTTAAAAATATAACACACCATGAACAAGTAGGATTCATTCTAGAAATGTAAGGATTAGAAAATTAACCAATATAATTAACAGGACTAATAAATCAAAGGATAAAAATCATATAAGAATCTCTTTAGTGCTAAAATATATTTGATAAAAGTTCAACTCTTTTACAGGTTTTAAAAAACTAACAGAAAAAGATTCTATTTCATAATGCCATCATTGTCATCACTCATTTTTTAAAAGCCAAAAGACAACATTGTGCTTAATGGCAAAACATTAGAAGCAGTCTCATTAAACTCAAGAACAAGGCAAAGGTGTCACTTTCTCTACTAGTATTTATATTGTTCTGAAAGCAATAGCATAATTTGACAAGATGTAAACATTGGAAGAGAGGGATATCGCCTCATTATGTATAGATGATATGAAACAATTTGAAAACTAATACCAACAGTAAGAAAATTTGGTAGGGTGTCAGGATATAAAATTAATATATAGAAATCATGTTAATTAATATAATTAACTAATTATATTAATTGACATTATTAATTCGCATAAAATGCCAACCAGGTGCAGTGGCTCATGCCTGCAATCCCAGCACTTGGGAAGGCCAAGGCAGGAGGATCACTTGGGACCAGGTGTTCAAGACCAACCTGGGCAACATAGTGAGACCTCGTCTTTACAAAAAATAATTTAAAAAATTAGGTGGGCATGGTGGCACACCATGTACTCTCAGCTCGGAAGGCTGAGGTGGGAGAATGACTTGCGCCCAGGAGTTCAAGGCTGCAGTGAGCTTTGATCACACCACTGTACTCTAGCCTGGGTGACAGAGCGAAACCCTGTCTTACAAAACAACAAACAAACAAACAAACAAGATAAAGTGCAGGATTCAGAGGAAAATACTTTAAAACATAAGGAACATAAAACAAGATGTACATAAATGAAAAGATATACACTTTCCTGGTGAGGATGACTCAACATTGTTAAGATGTCAACTCTACCTAAATTAATCTATAAACTTAATGCAAACTCAATAAAATTGTCAACAGATTGCACCTTAAATCATTATTCTAAATTTCTTTCTTTTTTTTTTTAATCAATATTTTTTATTTTAAAATTGTGGGGTACAGTTAAGGGTTAGGTATACAAATATGCATCGTTCAGGCACCCTTGTTGATAAGGGGGGTCTCCCCATCCCCAGACAGATATTGGCTACTGTTAATCCCACCTCCCATCCCCTCCCTTCCCCCCATAGTTTCCCACCACTGTCAAT